TGAAGGAGTAGAGTGCTTACACTCAAGAACCTACCATTAACCAGTAGTTCTGTCTGTGACTAGTGGGACCAACTAGCGGATATCCATCTGCCGTCATTGTAAAAGCAGAAGCTCTCGCCGAAACTTCAGCGCCACTTAAAGCAGGAATCAAGTCACACGCGCTGTTGTACGCTCCTCTGAGTCTCTTGAAATTAGCTTCAACTTTTGCGTCTACAAAAAACTTCAACTTATTTTGAAGTAGAATGTCTAACAGAAAACTTCACCGTTTACGGAGTGAACAAGTTGACTGAAAAATCAATAATCTTAAAAACTAGGAAAATACAGTCCATCTAGTAAGCAAGAAAGAAATTCTACTTTCCCTCAAAAAACTAATAATAAAATTATCTTCTCCTCAATTCTTTTTACTATTACTATTCAGCGTTATACCTTCTGGCATTTTAGTATGCCAGTCTTCTCGAATTGCGACATCCGAAGGGTGACTTTCAAAGCCTCCAAATAAGAGTATATTACCATATGGACGCACGTAGAACGTGCTGTCATGATCAATAATAGCAGGGAGATTGGTTAAAGAACTCAGCTGAATAAATATTCAGTAAGTTTTTATAATCGGGTGAATATCAAGAACCATAAACCAAACCTCCTCTATAGGTCCTATTTCGGCGTACTGATGTTCAAGATGGACAAGAGGGACTTCGAGATTAGTTAATGCTCCAACTTCGCCTGCCCACAGTCCTAAAAAATAACGTATATGACGCTAAAATTAATAAAAGACACTTGTAGTCACAAACCAAACATAAGGCAAGTGAACGGTTTTCTTGATTATAAAATTTTACCAGCAGCATTCACGATGTGGTGTGCGCGAAACTCACGTCCATCGTCAAGCTGAACTAACCATTCTCCTGTCGATGAATCTTCTGTTAACTTGAACGTCGGGCACTGCTCAATAATCTCCGCACCTTTATCCTGTGCACCCTTCGCAAAAGCACGCGTCAGCCCCTCGGCGCTAATGTAACCATCCCCTGTAGTGTACAAGGCTCCCAAAATTTTTGATGTATCTAATATTGGAGCCAACGCGTTCACTTCATCTGCTCCAATGATGGAAGTTTTGCACGCATCACCCTTCTAAACATTTAAAATTAGATTTTATAAGTCTGGTTGGGAAACCAACAAAGCGGTATCACCCAACCTGAAAATAATCCCGGGCAACATAACGCCGAAACTCTTCCATACGAGTTGTGTTTGTAGCTAATCTAATGGTGCCAGTCCTGGCAAAACCAACTTTCTAAAAAAAGCTGGGTACAAAAAAAACTTTACAGTATTCAGCTGTACCTCGAGCATTACGTTACACGACCAAAAACAAAAAAAATTCCAGGTATTTTCTTCAATCAAATCTTCGTTTCACTATAAACATACTTCTCCAGTTTCTTCCTCTAAGCGGCTATACAAGTCTACAGAATACGCCAAAATCGGTTTATACCTGTGTGCGGGATGACTGGCACTAACCGAGCCTGGCTGCAATTAAATTTATTAGTTCCTTCATCTAACCCTTCATCCACAGACATTAACAGTGAAATAACAACCCATAAAAGTAAAGCTGCATGATACTGCTGATAATTAAAAGCTTGCGTTCATTAAAAATGTTTTAAGTTTACCGAGTGGTGCGTTGTTCCAGATGCCAGCTTCCCTTTTTCAAGAACAATAACATCTTTAATATTCCTCTTCGCTAAATGATATGCAACTGATGTGCCCACAACACCGCCACCAACAACTACAGCAAATGCATTCTTTGTCGTTTCACTGACTAATCTAGAATATCTTTCCGTCTTATACAGTAGCACCTAAACGCTTTAATCCCGACAGCAACATCCGAACCAGAGATAGAGTGAATGAATGTCGCCGGGATAGAGTGAACGCATGTCCAATACATTTTAATGAAAGACGCAACCCATGTCTGTCCAAAACTGCACTGTGCTTGAATTTTAGTAAGTGAACAGTTAATATATAAAAAAGTGCCCAGACAAGGCTTGCGGCTAGTGTTGAAGGGAATCCTGTTAAGCAAAAATATAAATTGCTGAAACGTGCTGAGACGGTATTCCCTCACTCCAGAAAAAAAAGCTTCTTTAATACAAGCCAAGAACCATTCTTAGGTTTCTTGAGACTATCATCTAGCTCAAGTGTACACCTCAATTTTTTGAGGCTGCTGAGCGAAGATCTTGAGAAAAAATTGCAATGCTCTCTTTTAACCCTGTTATCTCTTGCAAGCTCTGTGAATAAAAGAAGCCTTTCATCAGTTTACACACTGAACTTTTGCCGCACTATGTGCACCATTGGTATCATTTTTTCAATCGCAAATCACTTAAATTTTTTACAGGTATGATACGTATATATACATGTTTTTTTTTGTTTTTTAATTTAATTTAATTTTATTTCATTTAACTAATTTATTAATTTATTTAATCAGTCATTTATTTATATTTATCATATAAAATATTAGAATATTTGCTTCGGCGGTCACGAAAGAGAGTTGTGGTTCTACCCGATAATGGGAGCAGTACCTGCGGTACTCTTTGAGAAAAAAAGTAGCAATGTTAGGACTTTTCCAGGATTCTAGCGCCTTTAAAGCCCGTGCTGGCTTTGATAATGACCTTCGTGATTTTGCTTACCTTTATTTTTGACAAAACTTTTCTTAACAGGAACGCTGATAGCAGGAACTGAGGCAGGAAAGCTTCAATGGGATTACTAGGATTTCACCAAATATTTTGACCTTAATAATTTAGAAAGCCTGAAATTACTGCTTTTTCGCACAATCCTCAATCTATGGAGACTTATGTAAGTTAATTTAGAAAGCCTGATATTACTGCTTTTTCGCACAATCCTCAATCTATGGAGACTTATGTAAGTTTCTTTGGTTAACTGGTTTACTTATAAACAATTTGGATGGAGATGCGTCACAGCACTAATTTTGTTTCTCATTAGTGTGTCCCCAATGTTTTCTGTTAACGCCAGTGGCATTTTCTTAGTTGTTGAAAACTCTTAAGCTATCGCAATCTTATAAAACAATAAATAGAAAAGCAATGTTTTCACTTTCACTTTCAAGTAGTATAAAGCACATGTAATAATTGCGCTGGATTTAAAAAGAATAATTAAATACCTCTCTTGTATAATTCGTAACACTGGTGGGCTTAGTACTAAATTCTTCGATGTTTTTAGCATCACTAGATCGCTCTGAAACATAGTTACTTAAATTTTAAGAACTTTCTTTATAAAGATTGATTTTTTTGATTTTAAGTGAAAAGTAGAAAGTGTATCCGCTTGAAAATATTGCTGCAAAATAGATCGTTAAAAAATTAACGCTGAGTTTTTTTTTTTCCTATAATTTGAGACGCCAAAAAAAATAGCATGAAAAATTTTGAAGCACAACTAATCAACAAAGCTTACTAAATTCACTGCCTCCAGAAATCAGAACTACGATCCAACAGAACCGTCAGAAGACTACTGAAGAAGAGCTGAAAACAAAATAACTTTAAGAACAAGAACTTCTTTTAGAAATCCGTATTGTCGAATTCAGAGAATCCGAATTCATTACTCCAAATAAATACTTTTACCTTGCGTGCTAGACCTATATTATTCTCAGGAGCAGCGCCTTTTACATAAATTTATTACATACGGCATAAAAGTCTCTAAAAGGACGCTGTTTACAGTACCGAATGTGCCTTCTTTATCACATTAATTGGTGTATTTAGAGAAGACGCAATTGACACGTGAAGAGTTTTGTCAACAGTTGCCGCCTCATAACCACTTTTTTGTGTTGCTAAACCAAGGATGTACATAACTGACTAAACTTTTGGTTGATTTTTCTATAAATGGTTTCTTAAGTCAACAAATTTGAATCCATTAAACTGCATTGGCATAGTAAAAGAGAGGAATGCCGACGTAGAAATATTGAGACCAGTATACAGGAGTATTTATGATTCAGAAAATGTATGCTATGAGAATTTTACATTTATTCTGCATTTCCACACTGACATTAAGCCTCGGCTTGAGAAAGTAACTGTGGAAGACAAGGTCTGCTATTTGTAAGCTACTGTTAATTTATAAGTTTACAACTTCTAATAATCCCTAACACCAGCTAAATGTCTTATTCGTCGCAGCAACAGCTAATTTTTTGTTTATTCAACAGAGTTTTTAAAAAAATTTTAGCATGATTTGTTTTTAAATTCGCTGTAGGAAGTTCAAAACATTCAAGGTGTAGTAGTAGTTGTCGACGTCATTACCAAGTAGCCAACGAAGCAGAAGAGCCACAAAAAAGCAGAATCTCGAAAGAAGAGAGGAATAATCTGGGAACCAAATGCGTAGAAAAAATAGTTCATGATCGCTTCCACTATTTTCATACAAATTAAAATCTTCTGAGAAAGCAAAAGCTTCTAGGTATTTAATGTTTGTATTCAATCCACCTTTTGACTTCTGACGTTTCATTACATACGGGTTCAGAGAGAAGAACCATGAATACATGGTGCCAAAGTTCCAATGCTATTTTACTTCCGAATGCCTTTCGACTCGTTCATCCTTTGCTGCTTCAGCATTTCCACTCACTCTCTTCTATTCTTCGTTGCGGACACGGACACCCAATCAGCAACCAAAGACTACTCATTCATTCTTATTCTGTAGTACGGTGAATTTTTCAAAATTAAATTTTTGCTAATCGGTAACTCTAATATACGAGTTCCATTTTATGCCCGAACCTTTCTTAGCGTGCAAATAGATAGACATTTACACTGTCTCCCACAGTCATCCACTGACAGTTTGCCATTCAAGGTTTCACCGCTTGTTCTGTCCCCAAAAAAGCTGAGTCCACTAAAGTACAATCATCCACTCACAATCCAGCAAACAAGCTATACATCATTCTTTGATCTTTGATTACACAAAGCAGAGCCAGTAATTTGATACCAGACAATGAAGGATTTCAAAAGAAAAAAAAAGCTATAGTGACTGGCAGTTTATACCAACATTAGAGTCAAAGTTTCGGGCAAAAAAAAACCAGAAAAAATGGATGAATAAAACTTTTTGATTTTTCTTTTTGCCATTTATAGATAACCAAAAAAAAAAAAAAAAAAAAGAACAAAGTTTTAAGTCCATATTACCTTCTTCAAAAACGACAACAACAACAGTTTTCAAAGCACCAAAATTTAGTGTGTATACTGCTAAAAAAGTAATCACTTTTTGAAGCAGAGAAGAAATAAGGAAAATTAAATTTGAAGAGGAAAAAAAATAAAGAAAAGTAAAGTTACAATTTTTAAGCAGGCTGCATAAGTTTTCTGTATTTGTTTCTGGTTCTTGCTGCAAAGATTAAAGTCCAACTTTGAAAAAAAAAAAAAAAAAAACTTAGCAGCAAAAGCGCAACACAGAAAATGTTATTTGCATTGAACCGTAACCTTTACATTTCTATGCTCTTTTTTATTTTCAACAAACGTCTAACTAACTATCGGTTAGTTTTGTTTGAAAAATTGTCAAATTTCCAATTTTCCTCATCATTAGTCACGCTGTTTTGGTCAACAATTAGTAATTTTTTGGAAGTGTGCCTAATTAGGCCGTTGTATAATTGAAGGAGATATATTGGTCAGGCCGGCGACAAACCCAAATATACATACGTATCTATACGCCTTCCTCATGCTGGGCAACTAAATTGCATTGTCTGATTGTTTAGAAAATGTTGCTCAGTTGTTTCACACTTATTATTAGTAATTATACTGATGGCATTCTGAATCGATCTCATCAAATAAAAAGGCGAAAAATTAGTTGTTTTGATGTCTAGAAGAATTCATTTCTCAATGTTTAAACAGCATATGGGTATACCAAAAAGCTGAAATTTTAGAACTTTAAATCTTGTAGTTGTATGCATAATGTAATATAAACTGCAAAAAATAAGCAAGTAAAAAATACAGTAAATTTTGACATACCGCTTCCAAGACGGTGTAGATAAAGTTCAAAAAATTGTTTTAGAGCCAAATTTCTTATCAAGTTATATTTTTGTCGTATTTGATTACACATCAATCGTGACTTTATCGTTGAAAATAGTTTAACATACACATCTTAAATATGAGATCTTGTGGGCTGTTGAGACAGATAAAATAAGATCGATTAATTGAAACTTTATTCTTTTTTATCTATTGTTTACAAAAAAAAAGAGGTTTAACTGCAATGATAAAAACGAGAAGAAAATTTATTACTTAAACAGTAGTAAAGATCATCATTTTTGTTATATCATATGTGACACTCCTTGATCGTCAACACCATTTTGTTTATTCGGCTGTATGTAATTTCAATGATGATCTATACGTTTCTTTCAAAATCTGTAAGATACAGCAAAATATTATATCTTATTGATCACCGGTAAGATGGATTATTTTATTTTCTAAACAAGAATTGTTTAAGATGGCAAAATCAGTGTTGAAAACTTATAGGTTCGTATAGAAACGGTGGAACAGAAACTTCTTTCAATCTTTTTCACAAATACAAATTCTAAAAACAATTTTTGAGATGGTAAAAGCGGAAGATGAAAAAGACAAAACTTAGTAGTTATCATCAGTATCGGTATAACCCATCTATAGTCCTGTTTATGTGTGATGTTCTTCAAAGCCAATGATGGCAGTTAATTCTGTGCACATTTTGTTCCGCTTCCTTTTAGTTTCTTCAACTTTTTCAGCTTCTTTTCTTCCACATTTGCTTCGTCTCTTTTTTTCATTGCTGGTTTTCCAAATAATCGTTTTTACATAAATGTAAAAAATTATTGACCAATTACAGTAAAGGACAGAAAGAATGAACGAGCAGTGAATAAAGAGAGAAATCTATAATAGAAATATGTGGCAAGATAAAACAAAAATGTCACTTCTTTTCTCAGTATTTTAATTTACAATATTGCTGTTATCATACAATTTTTTTTACTTTTTTC